TGTGTGCTGAAGCTGGACCAGAGCTGTTCTTGGGTTGAGGGAACCAAGAAACGCAGCCTCATTTCCAAGAGTGGGAACATGATTTCTTTAAAGGGAAGGAGGGAAGGAAGAATTCACAGTATTCTGTATTGCTCTCTTGTTCGTCAACTTTCTTGGGTGTTCCCTTTTGCATCAGTGCAGTGCACCAGATAAATAATCTGTCAGGCGCTCATATTATCCCCTTTTTTCATAAGCTGTTATGCACCTGCGTCTACTGGAAAAGGTGCCACTGGGGAGGGTGGTCAGGCTTATTTTTGGCCTTGTTTCTGCTTGCTGGAAAGTGCCTCTTTTACGCTGTAAAAATGCTCCTTTTCTCCTTCCGTCTGAAGCAGCCTCTTAGTTGTCTGGAGCAGGGTTAGGGCCTTTGGGCAGCTTGCTCTGTTTGGTGGTCTTCAATCCATTTTTAAAGGGGTTATTTGAATAGATGGGAAGGGGTGGGCTGGGTGGGAGCTTAAAGGTTGGGAAATGAGGAATGACTAGGGAACTTGTGGGTCAGTGCTCCAGATCCTGACCTAGAACTTAAAACAGTGCCAGGGTGGGGGAAGAGTGGGCGGGAAGCGTTGCGAGGGCATATCTGGCACGGACCGTGCCAGTACCCTTCCGCATTTCCGCTGATTCAAAGCATCTGCTTTGAGGATTGGATTATCCGGCGCTGTCCTTTTCTGGCTTGGGGGGGGAGGAGGAGAGCAGTTCTTCGTCTGCCGGGCAGATGAAGCCGAGAGGCGTTCTGGGGTCTGTGTTTTATTTAGCTCGCCTGGGCAGCGAGCGCTGCGGCCTTTTGAAGAAGGTGGATGCATGAATCACCAGGGGGGCCCTTCTCAGCTCGGCTGGCGGATCTGCCGGCTTGATTTATGCCTCCTTGTTGCAGAGGCTGAGGCGCAGAAGAGAACGGTCTCCATGCTTGGGGGAAGGAGGTTTCCGAGGGCCCTTTCTGTAGCCGGAGCAGCCGCATCTCTGGCTCCACCTCCTTCGAAATGGCGAAAATGCATTTAAGAAGGCCAGTGATGAGCTGATCGGGCTGGGCAAAAGCAAAGCCTCCCTCCCTTGAGGTGAACACGACTCCTGATGACACAGCCATGTCATTTTCTTGACCGCGCTGCGGAAGAGGTTTACCCTTGCCTCCTCCTGGCCTGCTTTCAGCATAGCCTCCCATCCCGGTGGTCTCCCGTCCAGTCTTCTTTGCTTGTTGACGTTGGCCAGGCAGATGCTGCCCCCTGGCTGGGCATCTCAGAGGCACAGGGGCATCCTAAGCCGTGCTTGAGGGACTGGGGGGGCTTCTAGCCCCCGACTGAGCAACGGTGCAAAATTCACAGCTGACTGTAAGAACAGTTGAAGGGGCCTCTGGCTTTCCTGAAGGGAAGCAAGCTCCTTTGAGCACCAGCTGTCTTGGAGACTCCTCTAGACAACCATTTGAGTAAAGCCATCCCTGGAAAAGTGTTCCTCCTGCTGCGTTCACACGACACACAGAAGCACAATTGTTTAGCCAAATGTGTCAGGCAAATCCAACCCTCTCTGTGAATCACTGGGTCTGGAAGAGGGGAGCCATTCCCTTGAAGGGCCCCATGGTTCTGCGCTGCTCCCTCGGCACGTTTAAGGGCCACACTAAGATTCTTTCACCGTCAACCAGCTGACTGTTCTTCAGGCTGTGTCACGGCGGGTGGAGTGGGAACATCCAACTTTAGCAGCTTTTCCTGGACAAAACACTTTCTTCGGAGCCATTTCTGTCTAACTTTTAACCCCAACGAGGGGCCATATGTATCGCAAGGCCAGTCGTGGCAGAAAAGCAAACGAGAGTCACAACAATGAGATGGGCGGGCATACAAATTGAAGTAAATAATTCTTTTTAGACACAGAGGTTTTGCACAGCTGCATACACTGGGCTTCCTTTAATTCTTTGGACCACAATTCCCAGTATGCCCAGCTGTGGGCCATGCAGGCAGGGCCAACAATCTTATATTTTATTTTATTTTTATTTTATTTTATTTTATTTTATTTTATTATTTTTATTTTTTATTTTATTTTATTTTATTTTATTTTATTATTTTATTATTTTATTTTTATTTTTATTTTTATTTTTATTTATTTGTTTAATATGCCACCCGGCTCCCGGCGACTCCAGGCAGTTTACAAGATGTTAAAAAAAAATTAAAACAAGAAAACATAAAACAAAAAAGGGCAGGGATGGCAAAGATTACTAATCCAGACAGGAGCAAAGAAAAAGAAGAAAAGGGGGCAGAGTGTTTTAAGCCTCACACGTTGTCACAAGGACTCTTTATTTTGCTTCTCCTCCTCCTGCAGATCTCTCTCTGGGGTGGAAGTAAGAGAACTTTTATAGATGGGATCCCAAATCCCAATCAGAAGCAGTAGACCATGGATAGCCACACCTGGAGGAGAAAGTTGGCTACTGTGCCATCCGTGCAGAAGCACTGACCTTCAGCTGGTCAGATGAAGACTTGGGGGAAAAGAAACCAGGGTCCCTCAGGCCATAAGTGCCCCCCAACTGACGTGGGTGTCTCTCTTCTAGGTCCCTCGGCAACTGGACCGGCAGCTGTGGTTGAGAATGGTGATCACGGACTGGAAGGCAATAGGAAGGGTAAGCATTTTATTGACCTTCTTCACATGCCCAAGAGCTGCTTCCTCATTTCCATGTCGCTGCTGACAAGTGTGTGACGTATCTGTGTGTGTGAAGGGAAATCCTGGAAGTGTGTAGGTTTCTCCTCCTCTTATTCCTTGCCTGGTGGCCTAAGAATGAGATTTTTAATGCACTTGACTTGGATGGAGCACACACTGAGTTCCTTGCAAATCGGTGGTCCTATTCTACAGGTGCCAGCGTGACCCATTTCTGGCACCGAGGGAAAATATTTTTCTGCTGTTTACAGCCTCCATAGTCTGGGATATTTGCCCTCCTTGCTTCCCCGTCAAGCCAGAAGATTCTTCTATTCCTGAGCATTTATTATAAATGTTTGCAGGAAGCTGCCTGTGATCTCTCCAGGGCTGGGATTCTTCCGTCATGCCGGGTTAAAGCCATTTTCTAGCTGACCCATTTGGAAGGATTATTTAAAAATAGCCAAGGCTTATGCTGAGTCCTGTTCCCTTCCTTCCTTGCACTGAGGAGAGGATTCTGTTCTTAACGCAGGGTGCGGGAGTCCAGCTTTCTTCACAAAAAAGCTTTCCTAGAATTAGCTAATGCTGTTCTCTGTGAGGGGGCAAGAACATGTCAAGCAGCCCTTCTTCTCCTTGTCATCTGGAATGGAAGGACAGATTTTTTTGATAGACCAGCTGACAGATAATATTTTGGAATATTCATAGACCACCTTTCGGGACAAAGCCAAACTCTTGTTTTATATGTGTATTTGGGGTATAGAGTATTTTATGTATTGGTTTGCTTGTATTTTTGTGTGTGCATGTATGTATGTGTGCTTTGCATTAATGTACACTCATAATTCAAGTAAAATGCTAAACAGAGCTGCTGTCCTTGATATAAGAAAAGGTTTACCCCTTGCTGGTATAGACCATGGCTTGTCTTCTGCAATATTTTTGCAACATTGCCAAAACCCTTTAGCCTAACCTGGCATCCTCCAGAGATGTTGGACCACAACTCTTATCTTTGAGGTTATGTTGCCCATCTCTTGGTCCTTGCTCTTTCCAGCCTTTCTGACTATATTTGCTAATTTCCCATGTTTCCAAATGATCCATCTTTTCACTGGAAGTTGCCCCCCACAATAGCAGAAAGAGTCCCAGCGATTACCAGAAATCCATGTCTACAGTTGATTCAAAGCAAGACTGAAATTCTGTCTGGGGTAGAAGTAGACCACATGATATGGGGCCTCCCCTCATATCTTGAGGGGAGGCCACAGTCCAGTTCAATTTGCTCAACCCCAGATGACACCACCACATCCTGAATGGTCAGCCTTACCTCCTCTTTATCAACATGGATGGACTGCTCCTTGAGAAACGTAGCTCTGTAGATTCTGTCAGATTGGGGCTCTTGGCAAGCCATCTTCTTGAGGGCCAAAGCTAAGTGCTGGCGAAAATGGAGGTGTTATGGAGTCTTCTGTAATCTCTCTAATAATGCATAGATGTATTTTTATACACCAGCCTTCTCCAAGCTGGTACTCACCAAATGCTTTGGACTTCAAGCATTAACAGTTGCACAACAGCAGATTGTAGAACTTCTAGCCAGCATTGTGAGGTCTGGCCTGTGCTAATCTGTTTAGGATTTGGAGTTGAGCCTCCCCTGTTGCTGCATCTTTTGGGTGTGGCTCTGAAGCGGTTGATACAAGGTCCTGTTTTAAGTAGGAAACATCTTGGTTCCCTAAACAGCTTACCTTGGCTCTTGAAAGGCCTTGGTGACTTTATATCAGTCTTGAGCTTCTATGTCAGCGAAAGATCCAAGGCATCTTGAGGAGGAACCATTTCATGAGTTACAGTTAGAGGATGGGAGAAATAAGTTTGGCAAAAGTGGGAGATGTTGAGTCAGGTGGTCCCAAGAATGATGGAAAGGTAAAGGATGAGGCTTAAAGGGGAGGTGTTTGTTGGAAGGAGAAATGGGCCAGCTCCAGAAAAATATCTGGCCTGGCTTATTTGAGAAATAGATTATCCTAACTTGCTTCAACTGACTTAAGAAAGATGGGGTGGGCTTTCCTGTATCTTTCACAGGCTCCCAGTTTCCTGGCATTATTCTTTGGCTCCTTTCCACTGGTCTGAGAGACAAGTCTGTGCGCAGAGGGACCAGCAGAATAGGAAGCAGGGCAGCAATAAAAAGGGATGCCTGGCCCTACTTGGGTCATCCCCCAGTTTGCTGATCTCCCCAGATTGAACTAAATTGGTTCCGAGCAGAGCAACAAACCTGTGGTTGCATTTTTTTCTGTATGTTAGAAAATGGGAAGGGGAATTGCAGCTAGTCTTAGGAAAGTGATGCCATCAACATCACTTTATGATGTTGGTGGCAAAAATTCCTGTCTTATTTCCCCCCAAATGCAGGGGAGGAAAGGATTTAGCAAAGTCCAGTTCTGTCCTTCCAGCACCAATATCTTACTCAAAAGCAAGAAACCAATTCTGAAAACGTGCAAGTGTCTCCCAACTTCCTTTGTAGCTGATTGCTTCTCCTCAGGGTATGACCTGGAGATGGGAATGCAGAGCTCAGTGGTGGGGCCTGTGTTTCAGATGTAAAATATGCCCAGATCAGTTCTTTGGAAGGTAAGAACGAGGGGAGTTTGAGGACATTTTGGCCAGTCTTCACATCTGACCCCTGGCAACTCTTCAGGACTTTCCAGAGAATTGATAGCTGAGGAAAGGTATTTATCTTCTCATTGCCTTCCAGTTCCTGGAGTTGTGAAGTGTGCATTGTGTTTGTCTCTGTGTGGAGCATTGTGATGTTGGCCTGGGCCATTGCTACTTTTGGTGTAACATTCAGGAAACTATTCTGGGCTGTGAGAGCATGTGGGAGAGGAGGGCTACATCTGCTTGCTTGGAACCCACAAGGTCCTACAACAATGCCAGATTTTGACCCGAGCATCAGATTTTGGCTCACAGAATTGCTGGACATGGTGCAGGTTCCAGTGGTCTTCTGAGCACGAGCTTTTTAAAGTGCTGCTGCCAAACTCCCCGGACTTCAGATTTTTTTGCTGCTGTACACTAACTGATCTCTCCTTCACGATCTGTGATCATTCAGCAACCATGATCCCTTTTGAGTAAATGTTCAGAGCTTTGCTTACTCAGCTTATACAGCCGGCAATACATACCCCTCCTCTCCCAACCAGTCTTCAAGAGTGTTGGGAATGGACTACATTAATCCCAGCCAGCTGAACCAAACTACAAGACCCTCCCTCACCAACTTCCAAAAGCTCCCAGGTTGGGGAAGGTGGGTGACATCTGAATGCCTCAGCCATCGCCAGGGTTTGGGGCAGCACATTGATGGTGCCGGCAGAGCCATAGCCAGGTTCTGCACGTTTCCTGCAGTTGACTCGCCGCTTCCCTTTCAGACAACCGCAGCGGCTGTCTTAGAAAAGCGAGTTTCGCTTGGCCTCCGTTCTGCTGGCTGACCCCAGAGAGAGCTTGCTTGATCAGCCACCGTTGCATCAGTGTTCATGTTTACTAACGACTTAATGCTTTTATGCCCTTTCCCTGTCTTCTGTTGCCTTTCCCCTCTTCTCTCTCATTTCCTTCCTAGAAACCTAGACCCCGGGGCCGCTATCGACAGGAGACCACTGTGCTTTTCTTCCCGTCATTGCACTTAAAAAAACAAAACCACCTATCTTCTGCATTTTAAAGAGCTCTTCCTTTGCCTACCTGGAGGTTATGGGGCTGAAGAAGCAACAGGGTAGATCTGCTGTGGGCCGTCACCTCCTCCTTCTCTTCCTTCCTCCTTCCTCTCTCTGCTCTGCAGTGCTTGTTGAAACTTTCTTTTACGTAAGAACAGATGTGCCCGACAGATTTCCAAGCTGTACGTTTGGCTTACGTTTCTCCCTTTTATGATCCACTTTTAATTTACTTGACCATCCTTTTGCTTTAACCGTTCAAAGATTAGACCTTCATCCATATTTCAGTTTCCTTTTTCCATTGCCTTTTTTCTCCTATCCCCAAACTCATTGAGACTTGGGTTTTCTACTAGAGCGCCCTTGACTTAGTCAACCTCATCTGCTCTACAGCCTTCCCATATTAAGGAGATGGACTTTATGGTCCCCTTTTAATGAGTTCAGGAGTTTCTTCCTGGTGAAAGGACCATGAGCAAGAACCCCCAGATTCACCATGGCTTAGACTTTGAAGAAGCAACGTGTCCAAAGCATTATTCCCCAAGGAGGCTATCATCTTTCTGCTCTTAGCCAAGCATAGTCACCTTGATCAGGTTGTCCTCTTGGCATCAAAGCTGAAGAGCTGGCAAGTAGACTCTGCCTTCATGAAATTTTAATATGGGCTGAAGCCCATCTTTGTGATAATGGTGTACTGTTTGCAAATTCTTCTTTGCTGGTTGTTAAAAAAAATCAAGTAGGACAAGACAGATGGGAGGGGAGGAAAGGCTGGAGCAAGCATGGAGCCAGACATCAGACATGTCAGAGTCATTAATGAAATAATGAACTGACATAAGAGGCAGCCCATCCTGGAAGTAGCAATGTCTCTTTGATCTTCTCCACCTCCACCTCTAGGTTTAACTTGTCACTTGCAATTTCAATTGCTGTCCCCTCTCAGAGAGAGATGGCCCCCCTGCACAGAAATAGCTGTACAAAATTTGTTCCAAGACCTAAATTTGGATTTCTTTTCTTCTCCAAGGCTATCAAACAAGGCATTCTTTTTAAAAATATAACCAAGTCATTCTTACTGCTTTATCTGCTACCTAAAAGGGTTTTATAAATCCCCTTGCATGCAGTTGAGTCAGCTGGCGTAGGTTGGAGGCCCAGAACAGCTCTGTCCCACTAACAGGATCGAGAATGTGTCAGCGTAACCATAGATTGTTCTCAGGTCAATTGTTCTTGCAAATAATAGCCCTCCACACCCACATTAGGATTAATTATGCTGGGAAGGCCCAACGTTTCTGCAGAGATGAATCTCCAAAATTGTGGCAAATTTCAATTCTTCCCATTAAGCCTCATGATT